ACTCCCTAGAAGTGGTGATTTCCATGTTTTTACCAACGGGGAAAGGAGGGTTCAGAGCTGATGATGTCTTGGCTGAAGGTCACACGGCAAATGCACTGTCAGATGCCAGAGCCCTGCTGCCAATGTGTCTCAGGAAATTCTGTCCCTTTACTGAGAGTTTCCTTCTCTGACCCATTTATTGTACTTTCAATGTTCTCAATTTGACTCTAGCCGCCCCTACCCCCACCTTCCCGAAGCCGCCTCCTAAGGGGAGCACAGTGCCTGGCACATAGTAGGTGGTCTGTCAATATTTGTTAAGGACAGACACGAGGAGCATCCAGGGCTGGTGTGGAGAGAGGAGCTGCAGCATGGGGTTGGGGTTGGGGCTGGAGCCGAGCGCTGGGCTGGAGACAGGCTCCAGGCGGTTGCTCCGTGTCTCTGCGCTAGGCCTTCGCTGGTCCTGGCTGTCTGAGAAATCTCATTTTGCTAGTGAGCTGATTCATGGGCCTGGCTCCCTGGTGCTCCCTGAGCAGCTCTCTGTCAATAACTATTCTTTACAAGGTCCCTCGATTCGTTTTCAGGGTTGAAGACAAATTTTTAAAGAAGAGTGCAGCGCCAGGGCCATTCCAAAGGGGCTGTTAACTTAATGTCCTGCCTCATTCCCGCCAAGCCTGCTCCTGCTCGAACTCCACGAGGGTCAGGAGTTGCCATTTCTCACAATTGATTCTAAGTTCTTCCATTTAGATGGGGTGGGGGGTGGGGGGATGTGAGGGATGAAGAGAAAGGGACACAGATTACAGAATAGGTGCTAGGCATGGCTCGGGCTGTGTTCCGAGGTTTGCTGTGTGACTTTCAGCCAACTGCTCCTCCTCTCTGGGTCCTCGTTTCTCTGCTTGTGAAAGCCTGGACACAGGCAAACACCATGGCGATGGTCTCTGCTTTCCTCCTCAAAGTGGCCTGGTCTCCAAAGCTCATTTGGAGAGGAGATCTTGCAGCCCAGCAGCAGCTCATATGTCCTCTCCGTCATCCCCACATGGGAGCAGGCAGCCAGGGAATCCTGCAGCTGGATACCACTGAGTGCACCCAGTGCTCTGTTCCCACTGCCGGGCTCGGGGCGTCATCCCTGCTGCTGCAGCATCCTCCTGACTGGTCCTCCATCCCTCCATCCTTCCTTCCTTCACCCAGAGAGAGGGACATATCTGAACTTCAAGTCTCAACCTGATTCCCAACTCCGCGTGCATCCCACCATACTCTCTCTGGCTTCCGCACTTTTGCATATGTGTTTTTTTTGTGTCTTCCCTGTTACCAGGGACTCACATTCCAGGCAGAGGGACAGCATGTGCGAAACAGCAGTGGAAGTGTGGACCCTGCGGCCTCTGGACTTCACATCCACTCTGGCCCTTCCTGGAATGCACTTATCCTCAGCAAACTTAGTATGTCTTCTCCCCTCCTCCTTTGTACCCCACCAACCCAGGCCAAAGCTTTCTCACTGGCCCAGATGACAGTGATCTGCTGACTTGTCCACCTTTCCTGCCGGCTCCTTGAGGACAGGCTCACAGTTTTGCCTCCCAGACTCCCTGGCAGGGCTTAGTGCCTAGTAGGAGCTTAATGTGTTGGATAAAGAAATGGCTTCATGTTCCAAGTTTAAAACCAGCAACACACCCCCACCTTGTATACTGCCTCCCCTCCCCAACACCAAGCTGGGATATTCTTCCTTGACTCACTTCTATGCCCATCTCTCTCTTCTAAGAACCCCAGTGGGATGATTTGGATAACGTGATTCTCTNAAATGGCTTCATGTTCCAAGTTTAAAACCAGCAACACACCCCCACCTTGTATACTGCCTCCCCTCCCCAACACCAAGCTGGGATATTCTTCCTTGACTCACTTCTATGCCCATCTCTCTCTTCTAAGAACCCCAGTGGGATGATTTGGATAACGTGATTCTCTGCACTGATAGAGTAGTAAGATGGTGAAGTGTACAAAATCCCCAAACACGGGATAATGTGAAAGCCACTTATGGTTTGCATTTGGACTTCAGTTAGCAAACATTTGTTGAGCATTTGCCAATTCCAGGCAGCATGTTAGGCACAAGGGGGTCAAGAAAAATGACTGAGACCCCCATACCCTTCTAGGATCTTCTAGGACCTCACAGTCAGAGCCTATTTGAGTAGCAGGTGTCTGGTGTCCTGGGAACTCAAGGAGAGCCCTCACGCAAAGTCCCCTGTCGTTCTTCCCTGGGCAGAGCCTGCCAGCAACAACCCCTTGCTGCTGAACTACACGCATTCTTTGTTGCCGAACACATCTTGGGCAGGGCTGGTCCATCCCTAGTCTTGCTTTCAGACCCATGCCTTACCTGAAAATTAAGGCCTGGTTGTGGCCAAGCCTATTCATCGAGACCCTCTATGTGCTGTGGTCTGTGCTAGGTTTGCTGTCTGCTGCTGGGTGGTGTGCTTTACGTGCATGATCTCATTTAACCCTCACATTAGCCCCAGGGCTGCTATGATCCATTGAGCAGATGATCGTGGAAGGCCAGGCTTCCTTCCGTGGTGGGCAACAGAATGTTTTAGGAGGCACTAATGCAGCCTCAGTTCTGCAGCTGGTCACTACCAGGACGGATGCTGGTTGCTGGTCCTTCCATTCTGCAAGATGGCTGCTGTAGCTACCTGTCCCTGTGCACTGGGGGATGATCAGGCAGCCATGGCCTGAAGCTCCTGTGCCCCCTGGATTATTGCCTATGCGGAGGAGTGGTTCCCCAGAGCCACGGGAGGCTGTGTGCATGCTCCCAGGCCAAGTGTGCCA